GACTGTTACCTGCAGCTACAAAGTTCAGAATGTCAAATTCTTCAAAACAGTCCAATTTCTTTCACAAAACTGCAAGGAAAAAGACAAGAGGATTGAGGAAATCTAAAGGAGACATAATAGACCATATCAACCGAACACAATACATAACCCATATTAGCATTCTAATTCAAACCAGCCAACTACACAAAAAGTTTTTAGATAATTGAGGATATTTAAATATTGCCTGGATAATTTAATGCTATTAATGGATTATTTAGGTTTGATAATGGTATTGTGGTTACATTGATAGGAATCTTCTTTTTTATAAATGGAGTCTTGCTATGTTGCCCAGGCTGGTCTTGAACTCCTGGCCTCAAGTGATCCTCCCACCTCGGCCTCCCAAAGGGTTGGGATTACAGGTAGGAGTCAGTGCACCCAGCTCACTGATGGAATTATTATCTTTTAGAGAAATATTCAAAAATATTTATGAATACAATAATAGAATATCTGGGATTTGCTCCAAAATAATTCAGTGGGAGAGGACTGTCAGAGGATAAAGATGACACAAGGTTGGCCCAGAGGAGAAGTAAACAGAGGTTAATTACAGTAATCTCTTTAAACTTAAAGAAAATATGTACCTTATACATTATGACATATGTATCTTAAGATACATAAGATACATTATGTCATATTTCAAATAATGCTTGTATTTTCTTTAAGTTTACAACTGATACCTTGAATAACACAAGAATAGTCCCCTTAAGGCCGGGCGCGGTGGCTCAAGCCTGTAATCCCAGCACTTTGGGAGGCCGAGGCGGGTGGATCACGAGGTCGAGAGATCGAGACCATCCTGGTCAACATGGTGAAACCCCGTCTCTACTAAAAATACAAAAAATTAGCTGGGCATGGTGGCACGTGCCTGTAATCCCAGCTACTCAGGAGGCTGAGGCAGGAGAATTGCCTGAACCCAGGAGGCGGAGGTTGCGGTGAGCCGAGATCGTGCCATTGCACTCCAGCCTGGGTAACAAGAGCGAAACTCTGTCTCAAAAAAAAAAAAAAAAAAAAGAATAGTCCCCTTAATTTTAGGAACTACTGGTCATAAATATGCCTTTATATATAGACATCTATATGCATAGCAAAAGCACAGTGTTTGACAAAAAGGAAATCTCTTAGGCTACATTTAATCTTGTTGTTCTCTTTGCCTGAATTTGGGAGTAGAAACTGCTTCACTGGCTAAGTAAATCATAACTGTCCCAAAATATTATTAATTACTGACTTCAATAAACATGTCCCTGCGTGCTAATAACGATTAAGAAATGAAGTTCGTGCTCAGGTAAACCTGACTATGTCAAGGTAGCTGAGTAACAGGGAACTAATGTTTAACTGAATTTCATACTAGATTCTCAAATCCTTTTTCTTTTTCTCCTCTAATTTTTTGGATGGGGCAAATTTTGGTATAGTTAGCAATCACCTATGTGAGCTCTTTGCATGTGGTATATACAGAATCAATGAATGCTTAAAATCCATTAAAATAAGTTCAGTGATTACATGAAAAAAATAGCCAGAAAAACTTTTTTGTAGAAATTATGAGGTGACATTAACAATTAGAAGAGGGTTACTATTTAGACTGTAATCAGATGTTAAAGTGGAAAGAAATTTCTGAGCATTTTTCCTGAAAGCTAGTGAGGTATGAGAACCATGACTCCCCCACACTTCCAATAAAATGTGGTGAGGGACTGGTGTAAAATCTTAGAAGCCACCATTTGCCAAATCTCCCCGCCAGCCTTGTTAGTCCTTACCGCCATTTGACTCCATTATTTTTCTTGTGGTTTCTGCTGTTTCTCTAAATTTTCTAACGGCCCGTTATTAAGTAAAAAATGAAAGGAATGGGGGCCATGTGATCTAGGCAGCCTGGAGACGAGATTTTGGAATCATCAGCTGCATTCCAATATATAAACAGATTTTATTCATTTCGGCTACTCAAAGTACTCAGAATCGGGACTGTAGAATGCTACCGCCATACTAGACGGCACCTGCCTGGGACTTGCTGGCAATCGATGGGCCCCTCTGCTTGCAGGCTTCAGCCAGCCGCCGGGGACCCTAGTCCAGCGGTTCCCGGACCTTCTCTCCTCTCCAGGGGCCACCACCTCCCCCACTCCTGTAGACCAGGACCTTCTGACCTGAGGGTCCGCGGAGGGCTAATCCTTGCAACAGCCTGCGTCCCCCTGCCCGCTCGTCTCTTGGACCTTCACCGCAGGCCCGCGCAGCCCAACTTGTGGACACATTTCAGGCCGCCAGGATCCAGCGCGGGGCAACAAAGCGGATAGCGGGATGAAGGCTCTGGAGAGGAACTCCGGCTTCCCGGGGCGGTGCAGAGCACCGAGCTGCCCCACTCCACCGCCTTGGGAAGGCGGCTGGGATTAGGAGGTGGCTTCGGGCCCGCAGGGAGTACAGGGGAGGGATCCCCGGTACTGCCGGCGCCTACGTCGAGGGGTGCCTGGGGGACCACGAGAGGAAAAAGAACGAAAATCACGCCAGGGAGGAAGCACGCACAGAATGCTCCTTTGTGAAGTGGAGTGCTCCAGGCAGGCGTGGGCCGGGGCGCGGCGCGGGGGAGTCTGGCAGCGCAGTTCCCACGCTCCGCAGAGGCTTCCAGGAAAACTCACAGCCCGGGCACGGGGGTAGGAACCTGACCGCGCGCATCTTTCGACGCGACTGGGTCTCAGGGAGAGAAACGCGCTTCCTGGAGCCGGGGCTCGTGGGACAGAGGCTAGGAGGAAGAATCTGGGGTCCTGGTCCAGGTCAGGCTTCGACCCCTGAGACCCGCGAGAGGCCCAGGCAGGAACGGGTGGCGTGCGCGCCTGGAGTTAGTGGTTCAGAGAGCAAACTCGGCAGAGTGCTACTGCCTGAGTGTCCTCGAGCGAGTTTTTAAATTTTTCCGAGTTGCCTATTCCTAGTCTGGAAAATGGAGAATTTCCCACAGTGTCTTCTTCGGTGAGTGCTCTGGAAGTGCTAACGGAGGATCCCGTGCCTGGCCCTTCGGGAGCAGCGGGGAAATAGCCAATATTGTTATTATTATTAGTGTTATCAGCAGGCAGGACAGTGTGTGTTGGGGGGGGTCACTTTTCCCCAGTTTTCCTTCTGTCCCTGTCCCAGCCTCCGCGCGGCTCCAGCTCTTCGGCTCCCCTCCCTGTGCAACTCTAGGCTTGGCTATCAGCCAGTCCTAGAGAAGATGATCCCCAGGTGGAAGACCACCCTCGACCCTCGACCCTGGACTCTTACTTGCAAGCGCCGTGGTTTTTAAACCGGGCCTCAGAGTTACAGAAGCCCGCGATCTGGGAGGCGTCCGGGCGGTCCGTGCAGAACCACGGGGACCCGGCCTGGGATCCAGAGTATGGCCTCTTGCTCTGTGCCTTCAGGAAGGCGGCCGGTCCTGGTCACCGCGCCCTGCACTACGCGCCTCAGGGACGCGCCCATGCCTAGGGGAGCTGCGGCGCCTCCACGACGCCTGGGCTGCCCAGCAAGTGCTCCGTGTTGTTGGCGGGCTCGTAGGTGCGCCAGGCGACCTTCCGGTTCCGCGAGGGAACTCCCTGCGGGTCACACCCGAAGGCCAGATCTCTCCACGCCGCCCGGGTGCTTCCAGACAGGAATCTACTCCGCTACTGAATCGATTGTTTAAAGATTCATCTCTGGATATGGTTTCATTAGGTAAAAATTAGGAACTGGAAGGCCGGCCCCGGGCCGGGGTCTGACCCTGAGTCACCCATGTTCGAATTTTGTTGGCAGTGTTGGTCTTGCCTCGGGCAAGGGAAGAAAGAAAATAAGGAGGGTGCCAAGAGAGCTTAGAGAAAGCCCTGTCTCGGTTCAGCGGCCGGCTGTAGCCGCACTCCCAGGACATTTGTTGACTGAATAAAGGAACGAAGGTCGGCCCGGAAAGTTTCGCACAAAGGGCAAAGGGAAGTTGGAACTTGAACCGGAGAGAATGTGGCATTAAATAGGACCCCTCTATTATCAGCTTGTTTTCAAACTTTGAACTGCCCCAGCCCTGCCGAATTTGCTAAAGTGGTCTATCTTGGACGCTGGTGGTGCTCCGGGGCTGACGGCTACCTGTGCGAAGAAGAGGGAAGAATTGGAAGTTGGAGTCAGGGCGGCTACCAAGGGTGGGGCTTGGGAACTTTCTGGAACGTCCTCAAAACCGCAGGAGCCGGGAGGAAATCTCCAGTGGGGGATCTCAGGTAGGGCAAGAGGATGGGAGGGAGAAGAGAAGCAAAGTAGTAAAAATTGGCCACTTAGACTACTGCAAAAATGTGGGTCTCCATGTTCGTCCTCCCTCCTGAAATAAGAAATTCATAGCTGAGGGTAGCAAGTAGATGGGGGTTGGGAGAGCAACTTTCTCACCGTCACAGAGCGGCTTCCCTCCAAGTGGCACGGAATTGGGAACCCTACTCAGGACCGGGGAAAACGTCTGAGTTCCTAGAAATGTGCTTCCTTCCTGGGGAGCAATTCGTGGTGGGCGTTCTTGTCTGGTTCCCCCACCCCCACCCCGGTCACGTGACTCCGAGTAACAAACCTTTCTAGTTGCAAAGTCCTTTCAGAAATTTTTTAAATAAGTTTTGAAAATTCTAGTGCTTTAAAAGATATATATTCCCTTTTATTTTCTCCAAGTAAGCGTTGGCCATTATATTCCAAATTGGCCTGAAATGGTTTTCCAGCTTGTTGCGGGGCGAGAGGTGGCGGAAATCAGCGTCTTTATAAAGACGAAAAAATAAAAGGAGAATATATTTACAAGCCTTCCTATTCTTTTCTTCTGGAGGTCTCCTAAATAGTAAATTTCCTATTTTAAAAGCCAAGTCTGTTTCAACCTCAAATATTTGGGATTTTTAAAGGCCATATTAAAGTGGATTACTTCTGATATGTATGATAAATATGAATTGTGAAAAATAAACAGAAAATAACGTAGGTTTTAAACAAGCTCCATTTTAGAAAGGGAAGAATGAGATGTAATAGAAAATAAACGAGTGTAGTGTAGTGACTTAGCATTTTATTTCGTCTATATAACTAGGCTTAATTTTAATACCTTAATTTTAACATGAAAGATGGCACGTCAGTCACACAGATACCAATGTTCTGATATTAACATCCTACTTACAGTACACATCCCTATCAGGAAGACACAGAGGGTGGACGCATTTTGCACTTAGAATAATACTTCCAGTTCCAAGGAAGTGAAGAAGGGGGAACATGTTTGGCGTCGGAGGCTGTGTTTTTGTTTGCTTGCTTGTTTTACTTTTAATACCAGAACAAAATACCCACTCACTTTCATAGTTTCCCGGGAAATGTGCAAATCGGGAAAGCCGTGGAAGCCACAACTGAAGGCAAGAAAAAATGACTTGACGCCCTTCGAAGTTTACGTTCAGGTGGTTTTTAGAGGAACGGAATCCAGCTGTTCCTTTAACTATTTTGCAGCGAACAGAAGTTTGTGTTTTCTCTGCAGCGCGATTCAAATGCACAGGCCCACTCTGGGCCGCGCAAGGTGGAGTGAGCAGCTGCGGGTCGCTCCGCCCTCCCACCTAGCTCTTGGAGCGCCCTGCAGAGTTGGCCAGGGAACTGGGCGTGGGTGCTACTCAAAAAGCAGGTGAGGTCCCCTCTCCTCCCAAAGGGACAGCCCGCGAAATCAGCCTAGAGCCCTCTGCCACTGCCTGATACTGATACCTAAGCAGCGCCGAGGCGGCAGACAGGTTCCCTCCCAGCACCGCGCCCTTGGTGGGAGCGCAGCCGTCGGCGCAGACTTCCTCCTCCTGATGCTGCTGCTGTTGCTGCAAAATTGTCCGAGCAGCGGTGGCGGCGGAAACGTGCAGCAAAGGGGCAGCGGTCTGGGGATGCAACAGGCATGATGGGCGCTGCAGCAGGTGGCAGTAGCTCCAAGGGGTCGGGGACAAACTCTGCGAAGCCCCGGTACCGCCTCCCCTGACCCCTTGCATAATACTCTCAATGCTGAAAGAGATGCATCCACCTTCTGGTCGCGACGCGGGACCTTTGCCCTCCTCCCAAGGCTGGGGACCTAGCGAGGGCTGCACAACTGGAAGGGTGCCAGGGGTCACCAGGTCGGCGCCTTCTGCTTTCCCCGGTGCCTCTGCATAGGCGGGGGCCGAGAGCAGTAGGTAGCGAAGAGGATGCGGGTGCAGCAGAGCGCATGGGCGTCTCCCGGGGGCGGCGGTGGAGTAGGCCCCCAGGAGAGGCTGCGGCGGGGCAGGGGCCCCAAGCACAAGGCTCGGGTGGGGGTTGTGCAGGGCGGCCGGAGAAGCGGGTAGAGGGAAGGGGTGGGGTAGGTGGTGGGCTCTCGAGGTCGGTTGGTGGCGCTTAAAACGCTTCCTGCGCCGGAGAAAGCTGCCATTGTCGAACATGTCCTGGGAGGCGGGGTCCAGGCTCCAGTAGTTGCCCTTGCCTGGGTGGCCCGGCTCGCGGGGGATCTTGACGAAGCAGTCGTTCAGCGAGAGGTTGTGGCGGATGCTGTTCTGCCAGGCGGGGAACTTGCGGCGGTAGTAGGGGAAGCGGCCGCTGATGAAGGCGCAGATGCCGCTGAGAGTGAGGCGCTTGTGCGGGCTCTGCAGGATGGCCATAGTGATGAGCGCGATGTACGAGTAGGGGGGCTTTGCCGCCTGCGAGGCGTCTCCAGAGGCCGCCGCATACCTCGGCGGTATCCTGAACTTGGTGCCAAAGTCTGAGGGGTCGCTCGGGCCGCCGCCGCCCTCGTTGTGCTCTCTGGGAAGCTCACCCCCGCCCCGCCGCGCCACCTGCAGCTCCAGCTGGGGCTGCTGCTCTAGGAACTGCTGGCTTGCCTCCTCCTCGTCTTCCTCCTCGTCTTCATTTACCTCCTCTCCCAGGACATTGATTTTACCGTTTTCCCCATCGGAGTCCCGGAGGCTGCGCTGCAGCGTGGAGCGAAGGCGCTCGGCTCTTGGCAAGTCCATGGAGGAGCAGGTTCTTCAGTCGCAGGGGATGTGGCGGCCGATCACCTGGCCTGGGGTGGGCTGGGCTGGAAGCCTGGGATGAATGTTGCAAGAACACTAGTGGTTACCCTTTGGGATGTTTTCGTCTGCTTGTTTCTGCTTCTTTCCAACAACGTCCAACAAAGCATGCACGTTGTCTTTTATAAAAGCTTCAAAACCATGTGTGGTGGACTCCCCCTTTATAATTCTACTTCCTCTACCTCGGAGCGGGGCCACTTCCTCCTGACGCAGTCCAATGATGAGGGTCTGCTGGGCAAATACCCGACCTGATAAAAGCCCAGCCCCCTCCTCCTCTCACCCACCTGCCATCAAGGAAGATGCTCCACTCGTCCAGCGCAGCCAGCTAGTTGGCCGGGCTTTGCATGGGTTCTGTTAAGGCGCAGTTAAAACCGCGCAAATAAAAACGAGGTAGGAAAGTATGATACTCAACAATCTATGAGCACTTAGACATGCAGCTTTCTCTCCTGGAGAAAAGAAATGGCGGCTGGGCGGGCAGGAGGCGGGGAGGCTCAAACCTGCACGGTGGTTTGTAAAGGAATGTGTAGCCGTAAAAGTACGTTTTTGTGTTTCACAGCTGGGTAATTATCCATTTTCTTTGGTAGAGTCTGTCCTTATCCAGAATGGTGGGCTGAATTATATTTAAGGTTCTGACAACATTCCCAAGCTGAATGGGGTGGGGGGGGGGTTGGGGCGGGGGCGGGGGTGTTGCTTTGCCCCTTTTACCTTTTCCTCTCCTCCCCAAGATGCTCTCCGACTCTAATTTTCAGAAAAGGTTGAAATGTCCTAGCATTAAGTTGTGGAAGTTCATTCAGGGAAGGCAGAAGAGCTCACGTGGAGTTCTCTGCCCCCTTACAGTAATGGTTCTCCAACTTCTTTGAATATTTAACCACAGTAAGAAATGCATTTTATATTACAATCTTGCACATACAGACATACGTATCTAAGATGGGTTTCACAAAACAATATAATTACACTATAGTGATTACTGATATTTCTTTTTTAAAAAATGGTCATAACCAACTAAACTGATTTCACACGTACCAGTATGGGCCTAGTTTGAAAAAATGCTGTTCTTACAAAATGGCTCCACATAGAAAAGATACACCCAGTGTATAATGGCTTCTCTCTCCCTTCCTTCCTTCCTAATCATTTCATTTTTAGAGCCAAGGTCTATGTTGCCCAGACTGGCTTTGAATTCCTGGGCTCAAGTGATTCTCCTGCCTCAGTCTCCTGAGTAGGTGGGATTACAGGTGCACACTACTCTGCCTGGTTCTGGCTCTTCCTTCATTCTGTCAGAAGTGCCAACATTAAGTGCTTTTACTGTAATGATAAAACTAGGAACTTCAATGAGGCAAGAAGGGGCTGCAGTATTGTCTTTAAATGGGTTCTCATTCACAATCTGCACTGGGGAGGGGTGATATGGCAGCAAAATTGTTCAACTTACTCAACATCCTTAGAAGTAAAACAATTTTTAGATTGGCTTCATTTAAACTAGCTCAGAGTCTAAAGTAGCACTACAGAGGAATAAAACTTAATATTTGTTACATAAATAAGAATCTTATTAGAGTACTAAGTAAGATACTATGTCACCATATATATTCATAATTTAAAACCTACCTACTTGGGAAAAATTTGGGGTGCCATCTAATAAAAATGCAGCACAAAATATGCCATTGATTGTCACATAGTGTCTATAATTATGACAATGAATGTTCAGTGAGAAATCAGAAGCCAACTACAAGGGCAAAATATAACAAAAAATAGCTTAAAGTAGCTAGTGCCTTCGGGATAAAATCTGGAAAACAGCTTTCTTGCAAATCTTCTTTTAAAACTTTTGTCTTCTCTGCTCCTGAAGTTTTTACCCTTTAAGGTTCCTCAGTTTATATGCAGCTTGGAGGACAAGTAACAGGCAGGTCTGAGCCTAACAGATTTGTTTGAATCCCAAATTTACCAATGACCACTTGTGTGACCTACTAAACTAAGCTCCAGGAGGGCCAGGACAGGTGTCTTATTCAACCACAATAATCCGAGATGCTTCCTCCCCAACCCTCTGCAGTGAGGCACATTTCCTCTATCAGCATAGGAATTGGATGACCTGCGATAGGGAGCATTGTTAAGTTTTTCTAGCCCCAACTTCTATAGGGATTGGAGTTATTTAAAAATGAAAGGAGAAAAATAAGGAGATACTCAAAAACAAAACAAAACACAAAACCCACATTGATGGGGTTATTTCAAAGGGGGCACAGGAGAAAACTCAGAGTTCCCAATGGCCAAAGCTGGGATAATTTGAGAAACAAAACATAGAATTAAAATGTAACCCAAAATATAAACTATTCATGTATCCACACTGATGAACATAAATGATTGAATCGATAAACAAGGGGAAAGAGACAACTTTCCCTTGAGGAAGAATTTTGATTAATTAGGTAGCCACTTCACTCCCAAAAAAGTAAACTACAACTCGCCAGTCCTTTAGCGTGGGCAGGACATAGTGATTTCCTCCTAAATGCAGTATGAAAAAGCCGGGGAAAAGTAACTTTATGGTGGAGAAACCTGACAAACACTCCTTCGGCCAGGTGATCAGGTCGTCAATGTCAACATCAATAGTCATAAATCATGGTAATAGCATATACCCTTGGTATGATGTGATGAAAATTGTTCCCTGTGATTTTTCTCCCAAAACCCCTAATCATGAGGAAAAGATCAAATTCCAACACAGGAACATCTTGCGCACCTGACCAATACTCCTCAAAACTGTCAAGTTCATCAAAACAAGGAGATTCTAAGAGATTGTCACAGGCAAGAGGAGTCTAAGGATGCATGACTATTAAATGTAACATGGCATCCTCAATGAGATTCTGGAACAGAAAAATGATATTAGGTTAAAAACTCAGGATATCTGAATAAACTGGGCTTTCATAATAATGTGTCAATATTAGTTCAATAATTGTAACATAAATGTCCCATACTATTATTTTGTTAGTGTGTGTAGGGGGGAATAGATGGGAACTCAGTACTATCTGCTCAATTTTTCTGTGAATCTAAAACTGTTCTAAAAATACATTCTATTAATTTAAAAAATGAAACATGGGTGGGGAAGGACCTAACAGCCCAGAAGAAGAAACTAAAGTGTCCATCTGATGATGAATGGATAAACAAAATGAGGTATATCCACATAATGAAATTTTTTCAGCAATAGCAGTGAAGTACTGACACATGTCACAACATGGATCAATCTTGAAAACATTGTGCTGTGTGAAGGGAGTCTAAATAGACAAATCTATAGAGACAGAAAGTAGAGTGGGGATGGGGGCAGGGGAAAACAGCAAGTGACTGCTAAGAGATTTAGGGTTTATTTTTGAGGTGATGCAAATGTTCTGGAATTAGACACTGGTCATAGTTGTGTACAGTAGATAGACTCAATGGTGGATATACTAAAAATCATGAATTGTACCCCTTAAAATGATAAATTTCATGGTATGTGGATTATGTCTAAATAAAGTTGTTATACCAAATATATCAATGTAAAAACAATGAGCTGTAGCAATGAAAAGTTGAATGCTTTGGAAAGACTCCATAATGGCACATTACTCTAAACAAGAAAAAAGAAGAAAGGAACCCTTACTGTCCTATCCCATCAATTCCATAGTATTGCCTTAAGAATCCAGTCTTATTTTGCAGCTCCTGCAACATTGAACACAGGGCCTTGTGCATAGTGGGCACTCAATAATGTTTAGTGGTTACTTCTAAGGTTGAATAGTTGTTTTATTTTGTTTTTTGTTTTTCAGAACAAACATATCGGGTTCATAAGATGTCCTCTGGTTTGAAAAACAAACCTTTCTAAATTAATCTACAAGAAGCATGATGATGTCATGTTTCTCTTTGAACCTAAAAATTAAACACAATTTGGTCATCAGAGTTAAAGGTAAGGTTGATTCTAATATTAAGATACATTCTGAGAACTCTACCATATCTCTCCTCATCAAAGCAGGGTGAGTTTCCAGACATTTGAAGCTAGAATTCACTTTTTTTTCCATATCAACTGCACTAATGTATACATTTCTAAAACTGGGAAAGTCATTTCAAAGCAATTTAAAAATAAACTTTCCCTACTTGTACCATTAATCCAAAGTAAACAATTATTCAATTTGTAGAAAGCAGCTAAGCCCATAATGTTACAAAGTATTGATCACTATTGCTTTAAAATATTGCTTTTAGCTTTATTTTGTTGTAGACTCTAGGAAAAAAGATGTTTTTGTTTATTCTCAATTTTTACTCACAAATCTGTAAGACTAAACAATAAAATACTATATATGTTTGAAGCAAGCAATCAGAAAAAGAACTCTGGGTAGCAAGAAAGGAAGATAATTAAAAGCCCTTCAGGTGCCAAGTCTGCTTAGCAGTAACAAGAGAAAATGAGCTATTTGGAGGGTCTTTTCTAACTCACGCATTATTGATAGCTGCTGAGAGAGGGAAAACTGAAAGGCATCAAGCTCCTTTACCAAAGTGACCCTTTCAATCACCTGGTCTTCCCCTATGCCTTGTGCTAACACTCCCTACAGCTATCTTAAAATCAGTGCCAATTTTCTTGCCCCTTTCACTCACAGCTGGTGAAAGCCTCAGAAAGACCCATTTGTTTTAAGGTGTGCAGAAGCTTGAATTGCACATCAAGCCTTGCTGGAAAAGGGAAATCCACATTTGTTGAGACTCTGTATTCAGGGTGCCTTAAATTTAATCGCTAGAACAATTCAGAGAGATGTGCATTTGTTATCTCCATGTTATAAATAAGGAAGCAAAGGCTCAGAGAGATTTAATAATTTATCTTGTATCCCTCAGTAAACTATAAAGTTTGGGATGAAACCTTGATCATCATCATCATCATCATCATCATCATATCCTGCAAGTCTCCTATAGCAAGCAAAATAATGGCCCATATTATTGTCATGATTCCATTATAAAAATAAACCTTCTCTTCAGGATATCTCTATTAAGTTCCAAAGTCTCCTGAAGGTTCAGGTTAAATAAACTATGGCTATGATCATTGGAAAACACTTCATTTTGAAAACAATAAGAATAATGAACAGTACAACACACACTAAAAATATATAAAAAACATTAAAGATACAGTTTAAAAACCAAAATAAAACAGTGAGATCCTGATTGGCAAGAGTTAAAATGTGCTAGTTGGGCTTGGAAAAACAGGTATTTTCCTACACTACTATATGAAAGCTAAAGGTTCAGTTGTCTGGAATGGCCATTCATCAGTATCTATTAAAAATCTTAAATGTGCATATTTTAGAAGCCGGTGCTTTCACTTTTATGTATCTACCTATTCTAGAGAAACATTCACACCTAAGAACAAAGAGACACACACAAGGTTCACTGAAGCACTATTCGAAATTTCAAAAACAGAAACAACTGGTTGATCTGCCACAGCAATCAAGCTCACATCACTTCCCCAGCTTAAAATCCCTCAGTCACTTCCCAGGGCATCAAAAATAATCCAAATGTTTACTCTGTCCTACCAGGAGCAAGAAACCTGGCCCCGGCTCATTAATTCCCATTTTATCTCATATCTTCACTTTCTAACCCTCCACCACCTTTGCCTTCTTCCTGGTCTCCCAACACACTATGCTGGCACCCAACTAAAGGGCCTTTGCCCTGTATGCTCCCTCTGTGTAGAGCCTCCTCCACTACTTTGTATGAACTACTACTTCTTTTAATTTTGTTATCAACTTAACAGTCACCTCTCCTTAGAGAGGCCTTCCACGACCACTCAATCTAAAGTTGATCTTCATTTTTATTAGCCAGCTTAAAGCTACCTTCTATTTTTTCATTTATTTATGTCCCTCCACCCGAATGTAAGGAATATGAGAAGCTGCCCTTTATCTGTTGTGTGCAGTTTCACCCCTAGAACTAATATGAAGGCAAATGACGCTCTCAATAAATGGTTTTAATACAATGAATGTATTCTATGCTAAACTACGAATTTTCACTCAGTAAAGAGTAAGACGGATTTATATGTACTATCATGAAAAGACCTAAGACTAACAGTTAAGTTTGTTTTGTTTTTGAAAGAAACTCAATTATAATACATTTTTAAAATGTTTTAAAACACATACATATTATAAAATTAAAACCCTCCCTTGAAGATCTCTATGGCAAGCTTCTGTGCTTCCTGAAGCAGCAGCCTAAACTACGGCTCTGATCATTGAAAAGTAATTCACTCTGGGAAACGTGATGTGAAAGTGAAAAGAAATGTCTTAAAGGCCAGAACTTTGGCTTAGTCCTAAAAAGTGACGGATGGGCATCATTTTTACAACAAAAATATATTTATGCAATACTTATATAATTACAAATATTTAAAGATTAATTTAATACATTTAAAAGCAAGCTTGTCCATCCTTCATCCCACATGTGGCCCAGAATGGCTTTGAACATGGCCCAATACAAATTTGCAAACTTTCTTAAAACATTATGAAATGTTTTTGTAATTTTTTTTTTTTTTTGAGACGGAGTTTCGCTCTTGTTACCCAGGCTGGAGTGCAATGGCGCGATCTCGGCTCACCGCAACCTCCGCCTCCTGGGTTCAAGCAATTCTCCTGCCTCAGCCTCCTGAGTAGCTGGGATTACAGGCACGCGCCACCAGGCCCAGCTAATTTTTTGTATTTTTAGTAGAGACGGGGTTTCACCATGTTGACCAGGATGGTCTCGATCTCTCGACCTCGTGATCCACCTGCCTCAGCCTCCCAAAATGCTGGGATTACAGGTGTGAGCCACCGCGCCCGGCCCTTTTTTTTTTTTTTTTTTTTTTTTTAAAGTTCATCAGCTATTATTAGTGTTAGTGTATTTTATGTATAGCCCAAGACAATTTTTCTTTTCAGTGTGGCCCAGGAAAGTCAAAAGATTGGACACCCCTGTTTTAAAGGAAAAACAAATATATTTATCAGTTTTATAAATACAGGTTTTCAGGAGCACAGATTAGTATTATATCAAATATTTCTCCTACAAGAGGACAACTACTTATAAGCTCCTTTTCACGGTCTAGAACAACAGTTCTACACACTTACTAGTTTGCCAAAGAATATTAAGTATTGTTGTGACTATAGTTAATTATAAAACAAATTTATCCCAGCACTTTGGGAGGCTGAAGCGGGTGGATCACCTGAGGTCAGGAGTTTCAGATGAGTCTGCCCAGCATGGCAAAACCCCGTCTCTACTAAAAATACAAAAAATTAGCAAGGCATGGTGGCATGCGCCTGTAATCCCTACACAAGAGTCTGAGGCAGGAGAATCACTTGAACTGGGAGGCAGAGGTTGCAGTGACCCAAGATTGTGCCACTGCACTCCAGCCTGGGCGACAAGTTCGAAACTCGGTCTCAAAAAAAAAAATTAACTAACTTGTTAGCAAGAAGAAAGCATTTACCTAGGTTCTGCTATGTTTCAGGAGCTGAGCTGGGTGCATTACAAACCCATTTAATCCTTGAATGGTGTTACTATCATTACACCTTTGTAAGTAAGGAAAGTAATCTCTGGTAGAGTAAATATAATACTTTGCCCATGATTACACAGCTAAGAAGCAGAAAAGCTGGAATTAAAGCCCAGATCTTACTCGAAAATCAGCTGGCTTTCTATTGAGCAATTTGCTGCCACAAAATAAGTGTATTCTCTCAACCATGAATTAAGAGAATGGATTCAAGAGACAACTGTATGTATACAGATAAATTATATTAAAGAGCTATAGAATAGAGAGGAAGGAAGATCAGAATTAACAATCTCACTGGTAGACCCAAAAAGAAAACAAGAATACCCAAACTGAGATAATTTAATCAATTAGCCTTCTGCCTCTGACCACTGCAACCATTTAAAATACACAAATCCAACTCCTTTATTTAAAATTCTGGGGAAAAAAATTCCAAAAGCAATTTTAATAGCCTTCTCTGATATTTACCAACCATTAGCTTGGAAAAGTACTCCTTAAATTCCATCTATGCTCTCCTCTTACAATTTGGGTAAGTTATGTGGCCTTTAATAGAAATAGGAGAAAGTGAGCCATTATATACACATCACACCAACCATTTATATAAAGATTACGGCCAGGTGTCATGGCTCATACCTGTAATCCCAGCATTTTGGGAGGCTATGGTGGAAGGATAGTTTGAGGCCAGGAGTTTGAGGCCAGTCTAGGCAACACAGAAAGACCCCATCTCTACAAAAGTTTTTTTAAAAAATTAGCCAGGTATGATAGCATGTGCCTGTAGTGCCAGCTAATGGGGAGGCAAGGTGGGAGGATTACTTGAGCCCAGTAGTTGATGCTGCAGTGAGCTATGATCATGCCACTGTACGCTAGCCTGGGCAACTGAACAAAACCCTGTCTCTAGAAAAAAAATACAAAGTTTTGAAAAATATTGTTAAACTATGAAAAGTTATTTTGTAACTTAGCTAAAGTTTATAGCTAAAGTCACATACTTCATCACTGTTTAGCTTATACTGAAAACTAAAGAAGTTCAAAAACCAAGATGAATTTAATATCAGTAGTAAAATCTACTTAAAACTAAAAGCTCTGCAACTGAAATCTTCTCAATACGTTACAAAATAAATGGCCGAAGTTTCATTACACTGACTACCAATAAGGCTTGGCATTAAGAATAAGAGATAGTTTAATTTCTTTGACCCAGATTTCTGCCATTTTTAAAAGTCTCTTGCCACAACAAACCTTTCATTTCACGTAATAAAATGGTGACATTTATTGTTTTTTAAAAAATTTAATAACAATATAATCATTGTATCTCTCTGCAATCAGCTGAAGTTCTAAGAAAAAAACGACAATGTTGAAAGTTTTATCATCATTATAAATTTTCATTTTCAGTATATGTAAACTCCAAAGCCAATTTCAAAAGATATTTTTGAGAAATGCCATTCATAAAAAAAAGAAGACAGTATATATAACTGTATGAATGTCAAATGTTTTACAGTACAGATTTGCTAAATTTTATGTATGCTATAAAATAAATACTACTTTAAAGTATATTGGAATTCATAAGTAATAAATAAATGCTTGAAATATACCCAGTAGAAACTTATTTTTATTTTCCAATCCTTTTAATAAGAAATGCTTCTAGTGTTATGTACAAACTTGATCTTCTTTGAAATGTGTTGTCCACTGCTTTTCTGTTTCTGTCACAGTAGTTATAAATAGCTGTTTAAGGATATCCTTATCTAAATTCCTGCCTGCAAACAAAACAAAATATGATGTGATTACATTATGCTTATTATAATGACACAGTTCACCTATCAATTCCAATTCTTTAAAACTTTATGATGTTTAGAAATTTACAAAAAGAATCGTAATTAAGTGATTCCATCTTTAACTTTTTAATTAAGTACATCAAAACTACATTGGTGCTTAGATTACTCACTTTTCTAAAACTGAAAGAGAACAAAAGGCCTAACAAGTTCTTATGAATGTGATAACATGATAAAGACGAAACAATGACCATAAGCTTAGCTATAAAAGAGAATACTGTTTAAGTGGCACATGATATCCCTTTCAAATATATTTCTCACTTTGTTTTAGGAGTGTTAATCCTTTGTTACTTACCAATGAGGACCAATCGATTTGTTCTCTCAGTCTCATCCTTCCAGCACACTGGAGTCACTTCCAGATCATAGAGCTCATGGACACCCTGGACAATCACTTGTTGTCGTCTGTCTTTGATTGACACCAATCCCTGCTCAAGGAGAATTGACTGAACATTAATCAGCCTCAGCTCAAACTTAAAAGCAGAAATAGGGCATCAATGTTAATGAATCAATTATTGATATCCATTTAAAAATACAAACTCTTAAGCTGAGAAAATTACTTAATTCACATTATTCGTGAATTATAAAAAGTTTCTTAAAATTTTCAGTTCTCAAAAAAGGTTTCTGTGTATTGATTTTTTTGAACAACCTCTTTTTCTATTGATAAAGTGAATACATATATTATGGTCTGTCACTGCTATTTATCACAATCAAAACCTGAAACAAAATATGTAATGTATTATATCCTATTGATTATTTTAAAGATTTTATATAGTGTTTCGCAGTGTTAGTGGGAAAAGTTGAGAAGTTAAAGGATTTTGGTGGTATTAAATAACCTGTTTTAGAAATAGGTTGCAATCAATGGACAATGATGAAATAAAGAAAAACTATTATATCTATCTGAATAAAAGCTCATTTTGTATTGATTTGCAGCAATGAGAAACAAATTATCTGATAAACTGGCTCCTATGGGGATGAAATTAATTTCTTTGAAATAATGTTCTGAATATACCAAAAACTTTGTGGACACACAAGAGTAGACACTCAACTGCGGACTGGAAAAGTAAACGCCTAGAACCACTGCTTCCTAGAAGAGACACCTTCCATGACATAAATACCCAAATATCAAGTCATATGAGTGGGTTTCTAAACACAGAAGGAGAGTTCTTCTAGTCCTTTGCAACTTTGTTTCAAGTATGACAAACGTTTAGTGTCTGCTAAATGCATCAAGAAGCATGTTTGACAGCAGCAAGATTTGCGACATTATTTTTCTGTACCTGGGAATACAGAGCAGAAGGTGACATTTCAAAGCATATTGGTTGTTCTACCTGCAACCCTAAAGGAAGCTGAGCAAATAAATCATGCCTTACGTGGTGATTTCCAAAGCTCCTTTTCAGCAATGAAAATAATAAAGAAAAATGAAAGTAGACAAAGATTATTTGTACTAAAACCAGTGTTTCTGTTTAAAACCAAATATAGTTTTTACTACAGCCAGGAAAAGGACTTTGTCTAAAAGTCTACTGTACCTTTAGCCTTATGACCTCCATGCAGTGATTGTCCTTGTTTCTCACAGTCTTTTCCCACAGGAGATTCTGTATCAAGTGATATATTTTAATAAGACCAACCATTGCTAATAGCAACAACTACGTAACAAAACCATTGATAAACCATTAATCAGTTAAAAATTGCATTTACCTGAATAAATACATTAAGCTGTTCTTCCTTTGCATTTCCTGGTACTTCAAATGTGATTGTAACAATACTCTGTAAATCAAGAGAAATAATCAATAAGAATTCTTTATAGTAATGTCAACATTTTTTTTTAAATCACAAGTTTTAAGATGAAAAGGAACATATTCACGGAATTTTACATTGCCTAAGCCATATATATTAGGTTTACTTTTCTCAACATATATGCTGTTTTTTTGGAATTAGCAACTCTGTTTCCTACATTCTGCAGAGGTGATCAATGGGTTTAGTGTTTACACAAAATACTACCTTCTGTTTTAAAAAATTTACTCAAAAACCCTGATGAAAGGGTCCTCATTTAACTCATTCCTTTGTGGATTCTCAGCAACAAGAATGACTGTAACACATACAGTGTACTGACTACACAGAGCCCGGTACTTTTGCCTGAGTCACCTCATTTCATCTTTTCACTTACTCATTACAACAATCCTGGGGAGTGAAGATATCTATTTCCATATAAATTGGGGAAAATAAGGCTAAAAAAAATAAGCTACCCAGAGCCAGGAATAAAACTCAAAAGCAAAGTAAATTTGTTCTCTTAAAAAATATATACAAAAGAAGGGCTTGGCTTATAACTGAGTAAGCATGTGCCAAGAGAAGAGTTCCTGGAGATGAGAATGAGAGGATAATGCCCTCTTTGGCTTTAGTATGGGTGATATCACCATGTATAGAATTTTAACTTTAGGATTTATTTTTCTTCCTTATCTTGATAAATCTCTCGCTGTCTACCCTAAAGAAACAGAAGCTTAGCATTTCCTCTAACAGGTTACATAATTAAAACCCAAACCTCCCTTTGCCAATATAACCACAATTTCAAACTCAGAGATGAAAATAAACAAGGGCTAAGTATAACATTATGAAAACATAAACCCCATCTTGAGAAACAGAGGCTCAGAAGCCAAGCTCAAAATGACTTTTAAAAATGTAGAAAATAATATACTACAACACAGCTTTACATAATTTCCTAGAACCACATATCTGGCCTAACAATTTTACTCACTGTTACATAATCATATAGGTTTACAGTAGAAAATACAAAAAGACCAAAACTATTTTATAATCTAAACTTACGAGAATACCGAAAGGCAAGTATTAAAGACCAATTTAAGCACAAACATATGAAACATTTATTTATTATCATAGGTTCCCCAATAACCTATGGAAATAAATAAACAAATGTCTTATATGTTTGTCCTTAAATAAATAAATGTCTCATATGTTTGTGTTGGTTAACTTCTTTAGCGGTGATGTGTGAGATTCTGGTGCACTCATCACCCAAGCAGTATACACTGCACCCAATTTGTAGTCTTTTATCCCTCACCCGCTTCCTACCCATTCCCCGAGTCCCCAAAGTCCATTATGTCAGTCTTATGCCTTTGCATCCTCATAGCTTAGCTCCCACTTACAAGACATAACAATGTTTGGTTTTCCATTCCTGAGTTACTTCACTTAAAGTAACAGTCTCCAATCTCATCCAGGTCAACGCAAATACAATTAATTCATTCCTTTTTTGTGGGTGAGTAGTATACCATTGTATACATATACCAGTTTCTTTATCTACTCATTGACTGATGGGCATTTGGGTTGGTTCCATGTTTTTGCAATTGCAAATTATGCTGCTATAAACATGCGTGTGCAAGCATCTTTTTCATATGACTTATTTTCCTCTGGGTGGATACCCAGTAGTGAGATTGCTGGATCAAATGATACTTCTATTTTTAGTTCCTTAAGGAATCTCCACACTGTTTTCCATAGTGGTTGTGCTAGTTTACATTCCCACCAGCAGTGTAGAAGTGTTCCCTGTTCACTGCATCCATGACAATATCTACTATTTTTTGAATATGGCTGTTCTTGCAGAAATAAGGTGGTATCACACTGTGGTTTTGATTTGCATTTCCCTGATTATTAGTGATTAGTGATGTTGAGCATTTTTTATATGTTTATTGGTCATTTGTAGATCTTCTTTTAAGAATTGTCTATTCATGTTCTTAACCCACTTTTTGAAGGGATTTTTTTTTTCTTACTGATTTGTTTGAATTCATTGTAGATTCTGGATATTTGTCCTTTGTCAGATATGTAGATTGTGAAAAGTTTCTCCTACTTTGCAGGTTATCTGTTTACTCTGACTGTTCCTTTTGCCTTGCAAAAGCTCTTCAGTTTAATTAAGTCCCAGCTATTTATCTGTTTTTAGTTGTATTTGCTTTTGGGTTCTTGTCATGAAATCCTTGTCTAAGCCAATGTCTAGAAGGATTTTTCCAATGTTATCTTCTAGAATTTTTAGTTTCAGGTCTTAGATTTAAGTCCTTAATCTATCTTGAGTTGATTTTTATATACAGTGAAAGATGAGGATCCAGTTTCATTCTCCTACATGTGGCTAGCCAACTGTCCCAGCAATATTTGTTGAAAAGTGTGTCCTTTCCCCACTTTATGTTTTTGTTTACTTTGTTGAACATTAGTTGGCTAACCCATAAGTATTTGGGTTTATTTCTGGATTCTCTATTGTGTTCCATTGGTCTATGTGCCTAGTTTTATAACAGTATCATGCTATTTGGGTGAGAATGGCCTTATAGTATAGTTTGAAATCAGGTAATGTGATGCCTCCAGATTTGTTCTTTTTGCTTAGTCTTGCTTTGGCTATGTATATGCGTATGTTAAACTATCCCTGCATCTCTGATATAAAACTCCTCAATCATGGTGGATTACCTTTTTGATATGTTGTCAGTTAGATGAGGTTAGCTAGTATTTTGTTAAGAATTTTAGCATCTATGTTCATCAGGGATATTGGTCTGTAGTTTTCTTCTTTGGTTATGTCCTTTCCTTGTTTTGGTATTAGGGTGATACTGGCTTCATAGAATGATTCAGGAAGGGTTCCCTCTTTATCTTGTGGAATAGCATCTACAGGATTGGTACCAATTCTTCTTTGAATATCTGGTAGAATTCTGTTGTGAATCCGTCTAGGCCTGGACATTTTTTGTTGGTAATTTTTAAATTACTATTTCATGTTATTACCAATAACTGCTTGTTACTGGTCTATTCAGGGTAGCTAATTCTTCCTGATTTAAGCTAGGAGGGTTGTTTCTTTCCAGGAATTTATTTCTCTCTTCTAGGTTTTCTAGTTTATGCACACAAAGATGTTCATAGTAGCCGTGAATGATCTTTTGTATTTCTGTGGTTTCCATTGTAATATCTCCTGTTTTATTTCTTATTGAGCTTATTTTGGTTTTCTCTATTTTCTTGGTTAATCTTGCTAATGGTCTATCAATTTTATTTACCTTTTTAAAAAACCAGCTTTTTGTTTCACTTATCTTTTGTATATTTTGTTTGTTTCAATTTCATTTAGTTCTGCTCTGATCTTGGTTATTTCCTTTCTTCTACTGGGTTTGTTCTTGTTTCTCTAGTTCCTTGAGGTGTGACCTTAGAGTATCTGTTTGTGCTCTTTCTGACTTTTTGATGTAGGACATTAAGGCTATGAATTATATGTTCTGTATATATCTGTTAAGTCCATTAATATTCCAGGATATAGTTTAAATCCATTGTTTCTTTGTTGACTTTCTATCTTGATGACCTTTCTAGTGCTGTCAGTGGAGTATTGAAGTCTCTCACTATTATTGTGTTGCTGTCTGTCTGATTTCTTAGGTCTATTAGTAATTGTTTTATAAATTTGGGAGCTCCAATGTTAGGTGCATGTATGTTTAGGATTGTGATATTTTCCTTTTGGACAAGGCCTTTTATCATTATATAATGTCCCTCTTTGTCATTTTTAACTACAGTTTAAGGTTTGTTCCATCTAAGAATAGCTACTCCTGCTCACATTTGGTGTCCATTTGCATGAAATGTCTTATTCCACCGCTTTACCTTAAGTTTATGTGAGTCCTTATGTGTTAAGAGAAGACAACAGACAGTTGGCTGGCAAATTCTTATCCATTCTGCAATTCTGTATCTTTTAAGTGGAACATTTAGGCCATTTGTATTGAATGTTAGTACTGAGATGTGAGGTTTCATTCCATTCATCATGCTATTTGCTGCCTATATATATCTTGCTTGTTTTTTTAATTGTATTTTTGTTCTATAGGTCCTGTGACATTTATGCTTTAAAGAGGTCCTGTTTTGATGTGTTTGCAGGATTTGTTTCAAGATTTAGAGCTCCTTTTAGAGGTTCTTATACTGGTGGCTTGGTAGTGGTGAATTCTATGTTTGTCTGAGAAAGACTGTATCTTGCCTTCATATATGAAGCTTGGTTTTGCTGAATACAAAATTCTTGGCTGATAACGGTTTTGTTTGAAGAGGCTGAAGATAGAACCCCAATCCCTTCTGGCTTTCAGGGTTTCTGCTGGGATATCTGCTGTTAATCTGATGGGTTTTTCCTTTATAGGTTACCTGGTGTTTTTGGTTCACGGCTCTTAAGATTCCTTCTTTCATCTTAACTTTAGATAATCTGATGACAATGTGCCTAGGCAAAGATCTTTTTTCAATGAATTTCCCAGGTGTTCTTTGTGCTTCTTGTATTTGGATGTCTAGGTCTCTAGCAAGGTTGGGGAAGTTTTCCTCAATTATTTCTCCAAATGTTTTACAAACTTTTAGATTTCTTTCTTCCTCAGGAACACTGATTATTCTTAGGTTTGGTCGTTTAACATAATCTCGGATTTCTTGGAGGCTTTGTTCATATTTTCATATTCTTCTTTGTCTTTGTTGGATTGGGTTAATTTAAAGTCCTTATCTTCAAGCTCTGAATGTCTTTCTTCTTGTTTGATTCTATTGCTGAGACTTTCTGGAGCATTTTAGATTTCTCTTTGTCCATTGTTTCCAAGTTTTATTTATGCTATCTAGTTCATTGAATATTTCTCCCTTCATTTCTTGTATCACTTTTTTGATATCCTTACGTTGGGCTTTGCCTTTCGCTGGTGCCTCCCTGATTAGCTTAATAACTAACCTAGTGAATCCTTTTTCAGGTAAGTCAGGGATTTCTTCTTGGTTTGGATCTATTGCTGATGAGCTAATGTGATTTTTTTGGAGGT